GGCTTGGTTGTAATCAAAAGCCCAGATGATAGGCATTGGTTTGCCTGCAGGACAATTTTCAGGCTGAGATCAGACTACACTTAAACAGATCAGAAACACAGATTTATCTAAAAGGTAGATGTAAGGCGCTGGACATAAATTTTCAACCAAAACAGGAAAAAATTGAAAAAAGGGCCTCAGTCATGAAGGGGTTAAAAGCCTGTTGACTTTGACTGCTCGCCAGAAAAATGAGGGACCTCACTACTAAAAGTGGGGGTCACCTAAATTGAGCAATCCACATGTAGTTAGGTCAAATGAGAGAACCAACTTAGGTGATAGGAGTCTAACGTCTTTAATTAAATGACCACCAATGGTTGTCAGAGACCAAAAACATCCCCCTTAATCAGGGCTGAAATAGACTGGACAGCCATTTAGTATTTAATTGCCGATGAAAGAGGCAAATCAGAGAGAAATCAGTTGCTGAAGAGCTCTATGCATTTTGACACATTGGATAAAATGGTATTCAATTTATAGAGCCATTACAGTCCTGATACATATTCTCCATAAGGAAGCACTGATTAGAGAGTATTTGTATCAGCCCCTGAAATAAGTTGGGTTTTTCTATTTTCATTTCTATTTCTAAAGATGAATCTGGATTATTAAATGGAGTGTAGCGTTTAAATTCACAATCCTCCAATTTGACAACACAAACCAAGGAGACAGTTTGAAATCTTCTGGAATGTAGATGCTACCTTTCTGGTAGTCAGATCACCTATGCTGAATCTTTCACATCCTAATTAGCCAGCCTCACCAAAAGGGAAACCTTGCAGGTCTAGTGCTTTTATTCCACTTCTTTCTAAAGCAGAATGCACAGGACAGTGCTGGATTTCTGGCAGGACCAACAGGTATTTGTTTGCTCTTGTTGAACAAATATAACAAAGCACTTTCAATGGTATATTAAACCGACCAAAAATTAGCAAATAAATTAAATTCAATATAAGGGTTTAGATATACTTTATTGTATATAATGTTTCCTCTTAATGTAACCATGGCCAGGCTGAGGATATTTGGTATACATTTACATATATGTACACATGCCTAACAAGCAGTAAATACACTTTAAAACAAGCACTTAATGACCACTGTAGGTGGAGGCAATGTGGAACAAATAATCCAAAAATTCACAGCAAAAGATATAAAGCCATTCAAGTTGTTCCCTCTCAGCTGCTCAGCTCGTCCCTCCCAGAGCACCTTCTCTGTGTTTACATTAGAGATTAGAAGGTTGGGAGAATATCAAATTACTTCTGGGAGGGGGGAGCAGGGGGAGCTTCCCCAAAAAAAAAAAAAAGTTTATAGTTTTCCCTTACTCCAAAAAAAAGGAAAATTTTATATTGAAGTGAAATACAACTGTTGTGTGCACTATACAGAATCTACATAAGTACTAGATCATGAAAACAGGGAATATCAAACACTCACCTATCGCACTTGTTCGAAATGTTTTTGAGGAACGAGTTGAATTATTAGAGAACCAAATCCTTATTTTTGGAATTTCATCATTATTTTGCTCGGGGAACACATTTTTCATGTGGCATCCAATATTCCTCCTATGCCTTTTTAAATATCGTGTACATGGTAGTGTTTTATCATATAATCTGTACAAATTAAATCAGATTCCATTATTAATGAATAATTATATTGTCAGAAAAAAATCCAAATTGAATGTACCTTAATGCAAAAGAATATTTGGCATCGGAGGGAGTATCTTCTCTCCATTCCCACGTACAGTTTAGGTCGGTTACATTATATATTGCACATGATACATTTCTGACGTACACTGAAAGAAAAACATTTAACCAGAAGCTGTAAAAGACTGTAGGTAGATTCATTTTTCATGTACTTGGTCATATGGTCATGCTGCTTTTACAGCTAGGACTTTATTTAGACATCATGAATAATTATGCCCTTTTGAATAACTGTCACCCCATGAAACTAGCTAGGTTAATGCTAGAATGCCCTTTAATGCCAATTTACTTTTTAACTGTACAGACCAACAAACAAAGTAAAATAAAGATGAATTAATGTTGCTTACACTAGTCTTTTGATTTCTCTCAACACCCCCTGCGCATCCTTTCCCCATGGTTCCTTAGTTGAATTCAGAAACAAAAGGTGGCCACTAACTAGAATAGAGAAACTAAGAATGAGAACAATTACGACAGTATTATATGCTAAGGCTGTTCCTTTAACCCAGCTATCCCAAGCACTGGTCCACAGGTTCAATTATGATAACTACAGCCCTGCTATCAACTTTCCTAAAAGTCTTCTAAGCAATGCCAGACTTGTCTTTTCTTGCTCCCCCAGAGCCAACTGTGTTGTACACTAAGAAATAATGAATAAAATAGTAGGGTAAATTGTCATCCATCACCTACACGATAGAGCTTTAGACTCAACTGTTAATAATGTAATTAAACCTTTAGATCTGTCACTAAATAATAAGAATAAATGATACGGGTAATGGCTAAAAGTGGATACCTAACAATGACACTTAAATGAGCTTGTTGGATATCCCATTCCAAAATAATGGTCATTAATATGGAAATGCCTCCTGACCTTTCCATCTATAACAGCCTACACTCTAGTGGAAAGGCTTTCCACAAAATTTTGGAGTGTGTCTGAAAATTTGCGTCTATTCATCAAAAAAAGAATTTGTGAATTTAGATAGCCATGTTGGATCTAACTCATAATTGCACTTCAGTTCATCCCAAAGGTGTTCCATAAGATTAGGGCCAGAGCTCTATGCAGGTCCCTTGCGCTTCTCCCACCAAACTCATCAAACAATGTCTTTATGAACCAGACTTTGTGCAAAGGGGCACAGTCATGCTGGAACAAAGCAGTACCTTTCCCAAACTCTTACCACAAGGCTGGAAGTGCACAATTGTTTAAGTTGTCTTTGAACTGTATGCTGTAGAATTTACAGTATCCTTAGCTGGAAACACCTAAATGTAAAAATTTAGAAGCGTGTCCACATACTTTTGTCCATAAAGTCTATAATTATAAGTAAATATACCCCTCTGTTTAACACATCTTGAGTTTCAATTGTGGATTCATGAGAAAGTTGAACCTTAAAGGAGAACTGTACTTTTCACAAGGTCCTTTACCTGAACCCTCTTCCAAAACAGCCTACAAAGTCTTATACTCACTTGTCCCCATTCCTGCGGGTGCATCCTGCAGGCAGCCGCATAGCTGCTGCTGCAAAGTCTCATTCTTTTCTAGTCCTATTTTGCATTTGGATGGGGAAATCTTTATGCAGAGTTTATCCAGTTTTTGGACACATAATAGATGTTCTCTCAGGAACGAATGGAGATTTTCTGCCCATGCAGAAGAAGAAGCTGCCCAGCTAGGGAACAATATAGAGGAAGCTGGATGGCTCCCAGCAACCTTTACTGTGCAGATCTGGCAGGTGAGGATAGGTGAGTGTTGGAGTATGTTCAGGGAGAAAGTCAGTTAAAGGATAGCTGTACAAAAGTACAGTAATCTATTCAAGTTAGAATTTCACAAATACTGTATACCTAGGCTGCCATTGTTAAATTCTATTTCTGACAATGTTCCTTGGATGTCATACTGATATTTTATTTTAATGCATTGTGAATTATTCACCAAAAACTAGCATAGAGATATAAAGGCTTATTCACAAAGCTGCCTCTTAATAACTGACCCGAAGTGAAATGAGCCGAATGCTGTTCGGCTATTTACTTCAGGCTTGTACAGCTGATTTAAGCCATACATCGCCTGAAATCAGCCGTACACCGGCTTGCTGCGGCTGGCTTCGGGTCGGCCGAACATGCTCAGCAAGAAGGAGTTCGACTCAGACCGATCCAACATCTGGATCGGCTGAGCTGAACCTCCGGCAGGCTACTCGCTGCTGTTCGGCCTATTCTCATAGGGGCAGTGAGTGACTAGCCTAATGCCACTGAGTGGCATTCGACTCGGCTATTCTGCTGGGTACCTATGTGGTTCCCAGCAGAATAGAAAAACAGTAAACAAAAGTAAGGGGAAAAAAGTAGAAAATGATAGCTAGCTCAACCCAACTGTTTCCTATTCGCCGGACCTGCTTTCATTACAATGAGAGCTCGGAGGAGGTGGCGTTGAAATCACGGCCGGCTCTGCTGAGCTCTCAAGACAGTTATGCATCCGCTGGTTACCAGGTAACCAGGGGACGCTGAACTATCATTACAATGAGAGCTTGGCGGTGCCAGCCATTATATCAAGGCCGGCTTCGCTGAGCTCTCATGACAGTTCCGCGTCCCCTGGTTACTGGGTAACCAGGGGACGCGGAACTGTCATTACAATGAGAGCTCAGTGGAGCTGGCCATGATATCAAGGCCGGCTCCGCTGAGCTCTCATGACAGTTCAGCGTCCCCTGGTCACCAGGTAACCAGGGGACGCTGAACTGTCATTGCAACTGGCCTGAGCCAGTCGTGAGATCATGGCTGGCTCTGCCCAGCTGTCAGTTGCAAGGCTTTCAGCCGGCCAATGGCCAGCCACTCAACCCACTTCAGGTTTCACTTTGGCTCAATTGAGCCGAAGCATATGCCTTCGGCGCAGATTCACTGATTAATTCATTTACACTCTTTCAAGTTATTGTATTATAAGAAATCTCCCCAAAATGACTGAATAGAGGCCACTAAGGGTCCAAGGAACAAAACATCATTAATTGGCAAGACCCGAAGCTAGATTACTCACATGGCTGTATAAGCAAAGTAAGTTATACAGTCACAAAAAGTTTGGGTATTTTAATATGTATACCAGGTATATAGGTATAACAGGTATATATGTTTCTTTATGGAGCTCTGTTTTCACAATATAGATACATATTATGTATAAATGCAGGACTCTACAGTCCTACCATATCATACTTAAGATTCAAATAGCAATTTCATCTGACAGTATAATTTTTTTACCGACCTGGTGTGGAAATATGCACAAATTCAGTCTTATTGCCTTCAAAAACAATTGAAGAATCATCACAAAGTGCATTTGATAATGATACTATGAACCCCGTATGTAGATGGCGATAAACAATTCTGTAGTTCTCTGTCAATATCTCCTAGGAATAAAATATAAATATCAAAAACTGCATCTGTGGTAAAAGGTAACAGTAAAACATGACCTATATAGACAGGGCTAAGGTCCCCCCTCCCCAACTCATGCAACAGTGCTTAGCCTTTATAAAAGCCTACTTTGCCCACTCAGGTCAAGTATCTCCTTGAAGAGACTATCAAATTATCCAATTTGTCCAGATTATCATTTTAAGAATTGTACTTATGTACGGAGAGTTTCTGGTGGCTCAAAGGGTAACTCCACTTTCTGGGAGAATGGAATGATCCCCTCCAATCATCTTTCAGTGAATGCTCCTTCCCCCCCCCCCCCCTCTCAGTTCTGCTTTAAAGTAGACATGTAAGCCGGCAAAAAATCTGTTTTGTTTTGGATCTTTTTTCTTTCTTGCATGTTTCGGGTCTGAACGGCATTTAATTTCGTTATTCGGATTCTGACTTTTCTGAATTTTGTTTTAGATCCGGACGGGGTTTTCTGATTGGCTAGAAAACAGTCACATGTCCGATTTGGTTTTATTTTGATTGGAATTCAGATGATACAAAATTTCATTAAAAGAACATTTGGATTTGTTTGCAATTTGCCTCATTGGAATTTGGACATTCTGATGCATCCGAATGTCTGAATTCACGTAATTTTGTACGAATTTGCATTCAGAATGAAACAAAATTGACATGTCTACTTTAAGGTAAACACTACAATAATAACTAAAATGCACTCAATGAAATACACTATACTTTCACTTTACAGCAAAAACACTAGTGCTAGAGACCTAATTTCATGTTGCAACAATTCAACAACATTCAAATTAAAATCACTGTCTGAATCATTCAACCTTTTCTAGTATAAATTTTCTGTTTCCCAAAATGTTCTTTTGCAGTTTCATTTTTCACAATCTACATTTGCCCCATGTTTCACAAATCTTAGATGTTTTTTCTGTTTTCATAATTAATCAGCTTAAAGGCTAGGCTACAGTAATGTTTACATCTCTTGCTGTTGAGTGATTTACTGTCTTGTTAGCAATTCCCTAATTTACAACACACTGAAATCTATGTGCTGTCAATGAGGTGATTACTAGTGATGATCAAATCTGGGAAAGGGGTGATTACCCAAGAGCTACAGTAGCAATCAGATGTTTTGTTGACACAGACAGTAGTCCTAATAAGGATGCTTGAGAAAAAAACTATGAACAAAGATAAGCACACTAGATAATGTAGCCTACCACTTCAATTTACAAAAGTAAGTCCAGGATCCCATCAGCTTGTTTACATACCCAGTACTTATGCAGGTGGGGGGAGCAGATATCTGAGGGCCTCCTTGTTCTAAAAGGGGCTTCCATATTCTGATATGTTTCCCCCTGAAGACCCCAACATGCATTTTGGGGATCAGGATGTGAAGATTATGGAATAGTCCTCTCAACATGTGGACAATGTGTCTTGCAACTGGGGGGAAGTTGCTCACCCTCCAATATTACAGACATTGTCCTGGTATGGTTCATGAAGGGGAGGGGGTGCAGGATTGCTGGCCTGTATGTTGCTGGCCTGTATGTCTAGATAGGGGTCTTTTGTAAACGTTTAGGGGGGGCATGAGCATCACCTGACAATATTGACCCACTGCCATGATGACCTGCCAACCCAAGGATGCTGCCCTGCCACTACTTCCTTCACAAATGACAGATCCCTGGCCAGCTTCTCTTTGTAGAAAAGCTTGCAGGGATGCTGGGTGAACTATGGCCAGATTGTTTGCCTAACAGCAGACAGGAAGGGTTTGGATTGTACTCATGTTCGACGTAAAATAAAGAGCTCATTCCTAACAGCATATTGTGGACAGAAATCACAAGAAAGGGAGACTGATTTACTAATATAGTTAAAAAAACTGCACTCAATAAAAATGTAGTAACTGCAAAGTAACTTAAAAAAGTGAAAGACAGCCAAGCAAATTATACTTCTAGAAGGTCAGCAAAGGCATCCCCTTTGGCCTGATTTATTAAAGGAGTCGAGAATCCTAACTCAAAACTGTGTAAATATTCACTTCAATTATATAGTAATGTGAACAGTATCTGCACGTGACTGGACATTCAAAGTAATTAGACAGCTGAATATTACACTTTTTTTTCTCAACTACTTTGGTAAATCAGCCGCATTGTGTCAGCACTGTCCAGTTCTCTTCTGCTAAGCTACCAAATCATCCCTCCTCTTTTCTTATCTCTACAATATGTAGGGCAATTGTTTTAAAGCCCAAGAAGAGACCTGAGGGGACTAATTAAACTCCTTGACATAACACAGAAGTGTGCATAGGACACAGGACTACGCTAACATTGTGAAACAGGTTTTTTTTGCACTTATCAAACAAGTATAACAATCTGCTCACAATTGTATATTTAATAGACCAAAAGGGAGCAAGAAAGATAAGTTCACTGTCAGAGTTTTTAAACTTTTAACTTGTGTTGCATGTAGTATGTACTAAGGGGATATACCTTTAAGGTTTTTTTTTTAGGGGCTACAGATGGATAAATGAGATAGATAGATAGATAGATAGATAGATAGATAGATAGATAGATAGATAGATAGATAGGATAGATAGATAGATATTGATAAAAGCTAGAGAGCTATGAGAAATATTGTCAATATTGTGTTTTTTATGGGGCTAATTCTAGACACTCCTGAAACCATAGAACTTAACTGTGCAGTACATGATCCACTCCACAGGATATCTTTAAAATACCCAAACTTTTAGTATTTTGTAGATATCTGCTGGTCTGCCTCCCATACAGGTAGGTTAAAAAGACATAGGGCTTATTCACACCAGTAGCCATGCTCAACTGCACAGCTGCCAGTGTGAGTGTGCCTGGCACAGTGCTTATGCAGTTGATCAGTACGCATCACACTGTTTCAAGGCTCACACTGTGTATCACACTGTGTAATGCATTACATACAGCCCAGCACAGCCAGAATGCACTAAGTGTGAACAGACCCTTAAAGAAGAAGTCTCACCTTGTATTATTTTTTACACTTAAAGAAGTCTCACCTTGTATTAAGCTCAATCACCTAACACCCACAGTATATATTGCTCTTTATCCTATGCTTCTGTGTGGAGTAGAAACTGAGATACAGACTTTGACAGTTCATTCCCGACCATGATCTAGAAAGGGGTTGCCTCTATTCACTAAGCCGCCGAAGGATCTAGCTATAGCTTCGGCTGATCCTTCGGCTACCTTCGGCCCCAGGACCCCTTCGGTTCCTGCAGTTGGCCAAGCGGCTCAGTAGTGCCGAAGGCATATGCCTCGGCTCTACTGAGCCGAGGTGAAAGCCAAAGCTGGCCGAACAGCCGGCCAATCGGTCGGCCGACAGCCTGCTTCTGACAGCTGGGCGGATCTAGCCGTCATCTCACGGCTGGTTTCAGCCACTTGCAGAGAGATCAGCATCCCTGGTTACCAGGCAACCAGGGACGCCATCTGTCATTACACACCGAGAACCCGGCGGGGCCGCTATGATATCACAACGGCCTCTCAGTGCTCTGGGAGTCTAATACGGCTCCCGGCCGCCCAGGAGAGAAACACTTTCTTCTGGAAAGGTTTACTCTGCTCGATCAGAGTAAACCTTTCCTTGCAATCTGTTTTTGCTTTTTTTTCTGACATGGGGCTGCTGGCCGCCCTCAGTCAGAAAAAAAATAAATCCAGCATAGGAATGCATAGCTAGATTCCTATTGGCTATTTCACTTTGCAATAGCAAACTAGCTATTGCACCCGCCCACTGCTGCTGTCAATCAGCAGAGGGGGACCTGCAGTTCTCCATCAGGTCCCCTTCTGGTGATTGACAGCAGTAGAGGGCGGGTGCAATAGGAATCTGGCTATGCATTCCTATGGTGTTTTTTGTTTTTTTTTATTCTGACGGCAGCAGAACCACCCGGCCAATAGTAAACAGTTGGGCAGAGCTAGCTGTCACTGCTAGCTCTGCCCAATCGGTTTCTATTTTATTTTTTCTACTTTTTTAATTGTTTTTATATTTTGCTCGGTACCACAGAGGTACCGGGCAGAATAGCCGAGCCGAATGTACCCAGTCTGAGTGATGCAACTGACATTTGCATTGACAGCAATTATAAGTATAATGTTAAAAGGGGGAATAACTGCTCAGCTGGAATGAAGCCACCTCATTTTAATATGTCTGTAAAGATACTCATTTATCCAGGTCATGATATAGCTAGTAGCTACAGAGATATTCTAGAATGCAACAATCAATGATAGTTTACTATCTACAGTATATAGTCGCTGAAATGTAAATTATCAAAAATGATCAAAACAAGGCCTAATAACCTTAGCAGTACTTAAAATTAACAAAGAACATAAAGCACTAAACATAACGTGCCATCAGTAACCTAGAGCTATGCTGTGATAGATAGGCATGCACTACTGTTCTCTTTTGTTTGATCTGCATAATAAAGTCATAAAATATAAAGGCTCAAAAAATATACATTTAGAATAAAAGTAACAACAAAAGCACTGATTACCTTTTTCCAAGTTGTTTTATCCAAAAATCGATAGGAGAAATTATAACAAATCTCATAGCCATCTATTTCAGATGTTACCTCTGTATCCCAGGTAAGATTAACAGCATTTGGGTGATTACTTAAAAATGTAATGTTAGGCTTTTTAAGAAGAACTGTGAAGAGATTACCATATCTTTAAAAATACATGACAATAATAAGAATACTAAGAACTTTAGTCCTGATATTTTAGCTTAAATACTTACAATTTAAGGTGTTATTAGTTACATGTATCTGGTAACAAACCTTGATTGATGCCAGTAGGATGATCCATAATGGTACATGGTCTTTATGAGCCATCATTCACACTGGCCCCTTCAAAAATACATAAAACAATGAACATGTATTGCTTTTCTTGTACCAGGTGTTAGACATAAACGATTACGTATGCCACCCTTCCACATTGCTAGCATTCAGTCAGTTCATGTTCTTCTTTAAAAATGCCATGCCATCCAAAGAAGCAGACTTTTTCTAGAGGAAGCATATTCTGTTGTTCTGTTCTACATATAATTATACATATAATGAGCTTCCCTAAGGAACATAAAAAAACATAAGCATCATATATAGCTGAAGTTAATAAAATATAGAGACTTTTAACATTTTGCAATCTACCAGTATGCAGGTGCATGGAAGGTCTCCTTGCTGTACTTTGCTGTAGCTAGAGTTTTACAATGTAATGGCAGGATTCACTAACCATTGTGCAATCACTATTGACAGCTAAAGAGTCAGATAGTCCTCAGCAAACATGCCTTCCCATAGTCTCTAGACTTTAGCTTGCATGTTTTTAATGAATACCTCTTGTTAGAGATTACAGAATAACGATGTTTGGTAAAGTATAATTGGATCAAGCACTTGGGAAAACCGGGGTTTATTTACTAAAGGGTGGTCACTTAGCAAAATACATTTTCAGTTTGCAATGGAACTTTAACTTAGCTTAGGGGATGAGGTCACAGCCATCCAACCATGTCAAAGCAAAAATCATGTTTTCTTTTTAGATTTCCTTGCACATGATTGGGTATTATATGCAAAGTGAATTGTCACCACATTCACTAAGCAAAGTGAAAATTCCCTTGCAAAGTCAAAATTCACTTTCCTAAGCTAACCGCCTTACAAAAAATCAACCCCACTGATCCATATCTATCTTTGAGAACTAATAAAGACAGAAAAGAAGCCATAACATCTTTTGCTGTAAAATGAAAAAAAAAAAAAACAGGTTAATTCTAAAGTGATCCTTTCACTTCAAGTTTTAAAAAATTGCAGTTTTTAAAATGGTGCCTAGAATACAGTAGTAGTCTTTTAATACTTAAATGTCCCATTGCCCATACTGCTAATCTTTGCTGTATTCAGTAGATAACTCTGGATGAAGAATCTTTTTTCATTGGTCACACATCTGGGTTTTACCAATGCCTGTCCTTCTCTGAACTCTGTGGTTCCTTCTGCCAACCCCTACATTGCTAAAGGACACAGTAATGATATAGTGGTCTGCAGATGGAATTATATCTCACAGAAAGAGACCAGACATTTGACACACAAGTATATTTTTGCAGATTAAGAGTATCCATTGAGGTGTTGCTATTTAAGGTATTGAATCTGCTATTTTGTGGCACATATTATTTTCAATGTGTACTTATAAAAAAATGTATGTTGTAATTAAATTAAAAAAGTTTTATTTTAATTTTTTTGTTCCCATAAATGTCCCTGTCCACTAGGGTTTATCCTGGGTGCCTAGGATACAGGAAGAAAAACAATGAGTTGCCAGGTAACAAGATATTGATATACAGGCAAGGTCTTTGCTGACTTACTAGTTTTAAAAGGCACAATTTTGCTCAAATAACAAATCTGCTACAAATAAATTTTTCTAGCAATTAAAACACAGTGATCTTACATATTGGCATCTACAATTCAGCAATTGGGTTCTGTAGAAAAAAAAAAACAGAAAGCAGTTTCTATGGTGAAATATACAACTTTTTCCTTCAAAAATTGAAAGCTTTATAAAAGGCTCAAATAGGGTTATTCATTAAAAGAGTTTAGACAGCAAAGTACTAAGAATGAAATATAGCATCCATATCTGCCTGTCAGAATCTATCTGCAATGTTTTAGATGACACCATCTCCAATTAAAAGGTACTGTAGTAATATTGTAGTACTGAAATGTAGTATAATGTTCCTATTGTTTTTAAGGGAATATCGCTGGATATTTACTGCACTAATAATCAAGCTATACAGTATAGGGCATACTGTCAACATTGGAAGTCTGATAGATATACACTAGAATTTCATACAACTATATCCATTAACATTTCATTTAACTGAGATGGTCATTGTAATCACATAACTGCTTCTTTTGTTCCATACACAATTCAAATCAGGGTAAATGCTTATATATTGATCAGTGAGAACTTGACATCCCTGAAGATCTATTAACAATCATGTTGCCTGAGCTCAAGTCAGGTTGGGACAGTCTGGTCAATGGGCAACTTCAGAATCCTCAATTTCATGAAGAAATCAAATATTTTTTAGAAAGTCTTAGACAAATTAATGGTATTTGAGGGGTTCCTCCATCCAACATTCAGAAAAGGGTTCAATGGATTTTACTTTAACCTTTAAATGAAAATTACTGTAACCCAGCAGATTCTTCTTGATTTACCTTAACCACCTTAGTACCACCAAATTTAAAAAACATGGAATGGAGGTAGATATGTATCTTTCGAGCACCATTTTTAAATGTCACTGCAGAAAACACATTGGTGGCCAGTGTGCCCGTGAATGGCTGTGATTTGAGCTATCAGCCAATCAGAGTTGTCAGAGAT